GTGGGCAGGTGGATGTTATAAGGAGAAGCCCCATATGTGTGTGTGCGTGTTTGTGAGTGCAATATGGTGTATGTTATGCGAGTGCATGTGTGTGGTGTGTGTGTGTGTGTGTGTGTGTGTGTGTGTGTGTGTGTGTGTGTGTGTGGGGGGGAGGGGCAGGTGGTGCCCGCGTGCGTGCACGTGCGCGAGTGCGCGCGTGTGCGTGTGGATACTGCGGCGCCGGGCGCTGCACCACTGCCGCCTCCGCCCAATCGCAGCCGCATGACGGAGCACAGCCATTCGGGCTAACGGGCGGGCCGTCGCAGGGCGTGCAGGCGTGTGTGCATGAGGCGCGGCGCGCGCACCTCCCCGTGGACAATGCGCCATGCGAGGGTGGAGACGATGTTGGGGTGGCTGAGGGCCTTCGACAGCACAGCCTCCAGGGTGGCGCCAGTCACGGGGTCCCTGGGGGGTGCAGGGTGTGTGTGTGTGTGAGAGAGAGAGAGTGTGTGTGTGTGTGCTAGTGTGAAAGTGTGTTCGGGGAGAGGGGGGGACTCACTGACCTTGGGGCGTCGTGCTCGGCAGGGCCGCGGGTGCCCAGGGAATGGTGCGAGCACACGCGCACGAGGCGCGCGGCAGCGCTCTCATAGCCGACACGCGCCGTCGCGAGCAGCACCAGTCCGGCACAACAGGCGTCCTTGGTCGCAGGCGGCGCGAACAACCAGCACATGCATGCACACGCTTCTACACTCACGCCCAGCCTCCCACCACCGCCTCCCTCACGCACGCATCCACACGTCAAAAATCGCAAGCCCGCCTCCCAAGCAACGAAGCGCACTAGTGCTCACGCCCCCACCTGCGCAGCACCGCGTCCGCCTCCAGGACCTTGACGGCCACCCTGGACCCAAAGTACTTGCCCTTGTACACCCTGCGGCGCGGCAACAAGGTGACCAGCGAAAGTGCACAGGGACGAAGTGAGCAAGGGCAAGGAAAGCCAAAAAGTCGTGTCAACAGGCCAAGGCGCTGGCAAGAAGGGGGGGTCCGCGACTCCAGGTGTGCGTCACCGGGTGACACGTGAACGCGTTCGATCACATGCAGTTGCGGCAGCTGGGGTCGGGGCTCTCTGAATGGGTGCCAGGGCCCCGCAGGGTCTTCAGTGCTTGAAATTTGATGCAAGGCCGGGGGGCATGAGCGCATGAACCCCCCCCTCCCACACACACACCCGCCTTGATACTCCCCGGCCAGTGCAGCGGCCGCGGCCACCGCCACCCCTTGCCCCACCCCCCAGCCCCCGGCAAAGCAGCAGCAGCAGCAGCAGCAGCAGCCCTGCGCTACGCAGCCGACCGCCCACCTTCCGTAGGAGCCAGAGGCCAGGGAGGCGCCAACCTTGAGCCCCTCGATGGGGCACCTGTCGCGGCCGTCAATCACAGACAGGCTGCCGCACGCGCTGCCCCCGTCCCCGCAGTCCGACCCGCGCCACTCCCGCGCGTGGTGGTGATCTTGACCGCCGTTGACCGTGCTCCCGAAGCTATCGACGCTGCGGCCGTCGGACGCGTGGCGCGCGGCGGGGGCGAAGGCGCCGGCGGAGGGCGCAACGGTCACGAAAAAGGTGTCGTCTGGGGCGGCGTTCTCGGGGGCATCCGGCAGGAAGGCCGGCACCGCCACATCGCGCACGCCCCCCATGCTGCTCGCGCCGACGGGCCTGCGTGTTTGGAACATTTTCCATGTGAGCGCAGCAAGGTGGGCGATGGGCACTTGCGAATAGGTGGGGCGGCAGGAAAAACGCGGCGGGAGCGATGCCAAGCTGCGGCTGCAGAAGGGGCTCGTATGTTACAGGCCGCTTGTCAGGTCGACTGGTCCAAGTTGGTCAAAGCGGCGCCTCGCACTAACATGCACGCATCGGGGCCGCACCTGAAGAACAGATCGAAAGCGTCGGCGGTGCGTCCGATCAGCCGCGCCCCGCGCAACGCGAACGCCTTGCCCTCGCGCGCCGCGGCCTCGGCGTCGCGCAGGATGGCGGCTGCGGCGTCGGGCGGCGCGTCGGGGCCGGCGGGGGTGAAGAGGCTCCAGAGGGACAGGCCCAGGAGCTCAAGAGGCGGGACGCCTGGGTGGCGGATGGGTGGGGTGAATGGGTGGTGGATGGGTGGCGGATGAGCTAAAGGCGTTGAGGTGGGTGAACGCATGCTATGGCAGGGCGGGCAGGTGGCTGGCTTGAGCGACGATGCGTGATTACGTTGGGACGGGGGCCGCTCCCCAACCCATGCCCAACAGGGGGGAGGATCGCCGGCGCTTCTATGTAATCTGCTGCGCATACTTCGACCGCGCGGCCCCATACCCGCAGGGACCCCCTCCCCCGCCTCAAGCCCACACCACGAACGGGCAACAAGCCGCGCCCCCGCGCGCGCCGCGCACCTGACAGGTCCCCAATCGCTGAGTTGGCGTGCGAGATGGACAGCCCCCGCTTGGGGCACGCCGTGACGCACAGCGCGCACGCCACGTCCTGGTCCAGGCTGTCCGCCAGCGCGCGCCGCGCAGACGCGGACAGGCGCTTTGTGGAGGCGGCCATGCGCGCGCTCTTCTCCAACTCCTGAGCCACCACGGCGCCGAAGTTCGACAGCACCTGGCACTGCGCGGCGCGAGCGGCGGGGGCGAGGGCGAGGGCAAGGGGGAAGGTGGGGGGTGCGTCGGCGCGAGGGAGAGGGCTAGGACGAGAGGGGGGGGAAGGGTGTGGCCGTTCGCACGGGGACGAGCAAGGGCGGGGTGCACAAAGCAGGCGGCGCCGCGGCGGTCAAAGCCCACCCCGGCGGTCAAAGCGAGACGCGACGCCTAACCTGGTGGTCGTCGAAGGCCCGCGGCGTGGGGTCGGCGCAGCAGAGTGTCCCCAGGCGGTGGCCGTTGGAGGCCACGAGTGGGGTGCCTGGCAGTTTAGAATTCACAGCAACGGGCGGCGTTTGTAAGTGTGTATGCATGTGTGTGTGTGTCTGTATGTGTGTGTGAGAGGGAGAGGAGGGGCCGAGCGAGCGGCTGGGCCGGTGGCATACGCCCGACCCCTGCCTGCGTAAGAGCCGGGAAGCGCGGGCGTCCGGTCGCAGGTCGCGCCGCGTGGCCACGGGTTCCAAGGCGTTGCAGCGGCCCCCGGCACCGCACCTGCGTAGAAGCCGACCCTGCCAGACTTCACGTAAGGGTGGTTAGTAAACCTAGAGGTGGGGGATGCGCCAAGCGCGGTTGTCAGCGCCGCGTCAAGGCGGCACCGAAACACCCGCCGCGACGCCGCGGGAGAGCCGCTGCTTGCAGAATCGCAGGCCTGCGGGGCCTGGGACGCCGGCAGGCTGGGGAGCGGGGCACAGCCGCGGACGGCGCCGGGGGTGTGACGTCAGCCAGGCGGGCGGGCAGACGGGCGGGCGGGCGAGGGCGCTGACCTGGCGTCGGCGTGGGCGTCGGGCACGACCATGACTGTTGTGGTCTCTGAGGCCATAGACCACCCGCAGAAGCTGAGCGGGCACGAGGGGGAGATCGGGGGGCGTGGCGTGGGGCGTGATCGTCAATGTCGGGACGCCGCGTCCCTGCTGGGCGATCACAGGGCGCGACAGCCACCCCCTGCATCCCTAGGAGGCGCGGCGCTGGGCGCTGGGCGTTGGGCGGCGCGCGCGTGGGAGTGCGCCAGTAGGCGCTGGTGGCTCGGCGCGCCGCCGCACCTGTGGCGCCATGGGAAATCGCCGACCTGAGGGCCAAAAGTGGGGTAGAAAGAAATTGAAACAAGTGAACACCGGGGCGCGGCGGTGGTGCATTTTCAGGCGTGACTGCTGCTGCACCCTTTGCTCTTCAGAGGGCGCCCTGGCCCGCAGCCCGCGCGCCGGCGCGCGACTGCCTGCACAGCAGCGGGAGCAGGGCGCGGCGCGGCCAGCGCCGCGCGCTGCAGCCTCGGTCGCGTCCCCAACGTGCGGCGGCACCCACCGCAAAGTTGCGCCCCGCCATGACCCAGATGCGCTTGTCCCCGAACAGCGCGATGAGCGCGGCCTGCGTCCCGAAGATGCCGCTGATGAGGGATAGGATGTTTTCCAGCTCCGGCGCCGGCGGCGAATCCAACAGGTCAAGGGACTCGACATATGCCAGCCGCTGCTCGTCGCAGCCCGGGACGGGCGGGCCCGAAAGATCCGGCCGGAACGGCGCGCCGGGCGCCGCCGCGGCGCCGAGGGGCGGCAGCGCGGCGCCGTCGTCGGTGGCGCTGTCGGCGGCGCCGTTCGCCGAGCCGTTGGCGGGTTGCAGCTGCTGCTGCTCTGCGATGTGGCGGCGCCGCGCCGCCCGCAGCTTAGCCCCGAGGCCGCCGCCGCTGGCACCGTTCTCGAGTTCTTGAAGCTGCGAACGTCACGCGAGCGGCTTGTCACTCGTGGTGACGGAGGCGAGGTCCCGGAGAGGGGGCGATCCAGCACTGACAGCATTGATGAGCCACAGGTCTTACCTTGACGCTCTGCGCCTGCCCCATTGTTGACGCTCTGTTGCGTTTCTCCAAAGTTGCAGGCCCTCAGGGCTGCTGTGCAAGTCGCGCCTCTTTCAGGCGCCGTGGGACACCTTCGATGAGCGTCAAGAAATGCACGCGTTGACGATTTCAAGGGCCCAAAATAATCCAAGTGTAATGATGCGCAAACGGGAAGAGGTACGTGAGCTCCAGCACACACTGGCGAACTGCTCCGTGCGCCCAGAGTTCACACTACAACGGACCACATCATGCGCAAAGCCACATGGTCGCCGCCGTCACATTCTTGGTGGTATGTGGAGGTAATCAAAAACAATCTTGCCGTTCGAAGCAGCTTGAGGTGCTTGCCGGCAGGAGCACGCTCCTCAAGCGCGGGCGACGAGTGTTGAGCAGGTGCCCGAAAGAAGATCGGCGCGCGCGCCCCACACCGACCGCCACGGGCTATTTCGCTGGCGCGCGCGAGCTGGAGCGCGCCTCCTGCTCTGATGGCCTTGAAGGGACCAGCAGAGGCGCCCAACACAACCCTGACGCGCCAGTGAGCTTTGTTGGTGGCTGCTACCAGCAGGCAGGTGAGGGGCCTGCAGAGCGTCTGGGACCCCTCGCATCCCCGCAATCCCAGGGCTCCCCCGCAATTCAGCGGCGGCGACGGCGAAACGGCGCTGTTCTAGACGCGCCCCTGCTGGCGGCTGGGTTGCAGCAGTGCAGGCGTGTGTGGTGCACTCTGCAAGCGCAGCGCGCTGTTACAAGGCACTGCCCGCCGCTGGCTGCCGCTCGGTCTCCCGGTTCATTGCCAGTCACGTACAACAGGGCTACATGCCCCTCGTCCCTTGCTCGAGCGGTGGCGCGTGCCTGCAAAGGACGCCTGCGCTGTTGTCACCGTAAAGACTGCGATCGCACAGACCACACAAACAACCAATATCAACACTGGATTGGGACGGGCCATACAGACCAGCTTGAGCGGCGCGGCTCGAAATGCTACACGCCTGCCGGATGCCGACGCGGAAAAAAATGACGTCACCATGAGGCACTGAGTCACGACCACGCCTCAACGAAATACCGCCCGCTCGTCTCCAGCTGGCGCACCCACTTTGCCGCCGCCTCGGGCGCAAGGCTGCCATGATCCACCGCGACCGCCTCAAGCGCGGCCGCCACATCAGCGGGCATCTTGTCGGCCGACCCTGACACATAGACGCAGCCGCCCTGCTCAGCCAGCAGCCGCCAGACCTGGCGTTGTGGTGGCGGTGGTGGCGATGGTCGTTGTGGTGATGTTTTGAGGGCGCTGTGTGAGCGTTTGGGGCTGAGACGCGCGCTTGAGAGCCGCGCAGCGGGCGGCGCAGTGGGGACATGTGCCTGTTGGGGCACATGCAGCCCTGGTTTCAGAGGGTTTACAGTGTTGGCAGCAAACCTGAGACACACCAGCGCATTTGGGATGTGGATTGCCGCAAGAATCCAGCAGCTAGTCATCATCCGTGAAACCATCCCGGCAGCCTGCAGCGCACCTTGTCCCCATGCTGCCTCAGCTTGTGCGTGACATACTCCTTGGCCGCACCGGCGCCGCCGGCCGGTCCCCCGCCCGCCACGCCGTCCGCCCCCAGGCCCGGCCGCGAGAACGCCGCCACCAGCCCCCACGACGGCTCCAGCGCGCCGGCGGCCCGCAGATGCTCCCATTCTTCTCGGTAGTAAAAGTCCTTGTCGGGGTGGCGGCAGCCAAAGAACAGCACACACGGCGCCGGTTGCTGCTGCTGCTGTTGACTTTGGCTCTGCTGTTTCAAGAGCGCCGCCCGCTGCCACAGGAACGACCGGAAAGGGGCGACGCCGGTGCCCGGGCCCACCAGCAGCAGAGGTGTTGCTTGGGAAGCTGGCATGCGCAGGCAGCCACGCTCGATCCACACAGGCACCCTGGGAGCCGCCGCTGCCGCCGCCTCCGCCGCCGCCGCCGCCGCCTCGGGCCCAGCCGCCGCTGCCGCGGCCGCGCACCCGCTGCCATTGGCCATGTGGCCGTTGGCGCCCGCAGCGCCGCGGCCCGCCCCGTCTGCAACGGCTGACGTGGTGGCGCTGCTGCTAATGCTGCTGCTGCTGCTGTTTGGGGCCTCCAGGGTGGCGAGCCAGCTGGTGACGAGGCCCCGCTTCTGCCGCTTGAAGGGCGTCGCGTACCGCACCACCGCCGCCGTCACGTGCGCCCTGCCGGGGTGCGCCTGCAGGGGCATGCCGCATTGGACGGGACCGTCGGTGGCGTGCGGCGAGGCGGTTGTGCCGTGTTGCAGGGTTCTGATTGGCAGCAGTTCTGATCGGCAGCAGGTGCGCCTAGGGCGGTCTGCAGTCACCACAGGCCCTCGCAGGATGTCGATGGTGCACCGCCCACTTCAAGCAGTACGAGGGGTAGGCCCATACTTCCAAACATCTTGTGAGCCGTTTGGCTGTGTGTGGTGCCCACACGGACCCCACATCGGGCCACGCGCTTGGAGCCCGCCGCCCACCAGTGGTGAGCTGCTGATTGAGAAGAGCCGCGGCTGCAGCAGGGGGGCGGCCTCCAGCAGGCGCTCCAGGGGCAGGGGGGCTGCGCTGGGGAAGTCCTGCAGCACCTCCAGCAGGGTGCGCTTCTCACGGTGGTTGTAGCTGGTTTTTTTGAGGGGGGGGGAGGTGAGTGGACGGGAATGGAGGG